AAGATGTAATACACACTTTTATTTAAATCATATTTTTTTCAATACCCCCATCAAAAATTAAAATCAAACCTTACTATACTTTTGAGTATATCCTTATATTTAAAAAAAAGAGATTTTGGCTTAATGGTTTTAACTGTTTGTTTCAGCAACGTTAAAGATATCAACTCTGTTCTCGAAGTGACAGTTTTTGATGAAGATCCTGATTACAAAGTTGAGTTCCTGGGAAAATTAGCTATACCGTTGCTTTCTATTAACAATGGTGTCCAAAAATGGTATTCTCTCAAGGATAAAAAGTTATCAGGACGGGCTAAAGGAAACGACCCGAAAATCTTATTGGAAATGCGGCTCATCTGGAACCCGGTATCTTTGCTAAATTCGTATAATTGCGTTCCTAATGTGGCTTAATTTAATTCTATTGTTGGTTAAGTTTAGATACGAGCGTTTATCAGGACATTAAATCCAAAAGAGGAAAAATATATGCAGCAAGAAATCAAGTTCAAAAGACAGACACTCATCAGAAATGTAATGAGGCTCAAACAGCTCGTCTTGTGGGCTATCGATATTGGAAAATATTTTGAGTAAATATTCAACCATAATTTAGCCCAAAATAATAATCACCCTATATAGTATATATTATCGAATTCATCAATAAATAATAGTTATAACTATACTAAACCTTAAAAATACATTTATATATATAATGTAGGTATATTGTATTGAAAATTTGAAATATACAAAATAAATAAGTAAATAAAAGAAAATACAGGAACAATTTATATGTTGAATGAAAAATAAACTATCAGCAATGTGTAATTTTCCTGGGTATTAAGGCTCTGCCAGATTTTGCTAGCAAATTTAGAAAAAATTATACATTGTCTAAACCATATAAAATATGGCCCTAATCTAGATCGTTCCATGTAAACAACAGTGTTTTGGTTTATTTATTACTTATTTTTAGTCAGATATATAATACCTAATATAATTTTTTTCTAATACAATTTTTAATTTTTAAGTATTGCTACTTCATTTTAATTTATTTTTTGTCACGCCTGCACCAAAAGTTTAGTTTTCGTTGCAGATGGTTGAAGCGTTGTAAAGCGACCTTTTTCCGTCCAGGGGGCGGTAAAGTGGGAATCCCCATAGTGCCGTGTAGTAAAGTAGAAATCCTAAAAAGTGCCCGGCTCATATCACGCGTATCGCCTGCACAACCAGACACTAAAATCTATACCACGGATCTTACAAAACATAAATTTTTGGTCACATGCCGTACATATTATATTCATATTATAACCTCTTTGCATGACGTGTAAAAATTTTTCTTTCATGAAATTGTTTTCTTAAAATAATCTGGTTGTTGCATAGATCCCAGAATAGTGCATACCATTGCCGAGATTAAATATTTTTTTTCTTATTTTATTTTAGTACAATAATTACTTTTTATACTTAAATATATAACGCGGTCCTTACAAAACATAAACTTTTGGTTACATCTTATATTCATAATTTAACCTCCACGCATGACGATTAAAATAAATAAAACCAAATAGTTTCATTCACGAAATATTGTTTTCGTAGAATAGTCTGGTTGCTGCATAGAAAAACGAACACAGAGGCGTTACAAAAAAATAGTTTGTGTGGCTTGTGCGGGAGGCAATTTCAGTCTTGGGCGAAATGCGGCCATCGCCTGCGGCTAGTGCTACAAACGTCGCCCACGACTAAATTAGCCCTTCTTCATAATACATGTTCTTACAATGATTCCTTGATTAAGAAGGACACTACACGGACGTTTGTTGTCTCTGTCTTACAAGTGCGTAACATGGAAAATTTACGCTCAGCAGATCACGTTGAGCTTCGTTAGTTTAAAAATTAGAGTGAATCGACCTTCAATGAAACTTGATGGTTAGAACATTATCTGTGTTTGTATGTGTATTTTATTTACGATAATTCAATTTTTAAGTGAGTTATGGGTATTTCTAAGTTACGCTATTTATAGACCCAAAACTTTCTTAAAAAAAATTTATCTAACGTAAAAAACCCACATACAAATACAGATAATGTCCTTACCATCAATTTTCATGAATAGGTCGATTCAATCTAATTTTTAAACTAACGAAGCTAAACGTGATTTTCTGGGAGTAAATTTGCAATTTTAAACACTTGTAAGATGGACACAACGCCTGTGTAGCGTCCTCTTAAAATATATACGATAGGTACAATTGAAGTTGAAAGTTAAACGTTTGTTTTTTCCACCGATACATTTTATTAATAAACTCTAAATTCCTTGTTGTGTTTACTATGGTAATAAAAAAAAATTCCATCCTTCTAGTTTTCTGAATATATTTTTCATCTATTAATAAATAAATACAGTCAGTATATTTAAGGTAGTTTCCGAGAATTGTTTCGAATTCGTTGTCAACACACCAGTTCGTGTAAATAAAGTAATTTTCCGAGCATAATATAGTCACGAGTGCTATACTTTAACTTTGTTTACTATTTTTTTTCTGTATAACCTTTAAACCATTTATATCGGTCACTAGCAGGTAATTCTCAGAGGAGCCCTTGCTGATCGATCCGCCTAAACAGTTATATATTGTGTTCTTTATAACTCTTACTTTTATATATTCCTTACACGTTGTTTATATTTTTTTTTTAATCTTATATAAATACATATTCTGAAAAGAGTTTTGCTTTTTCCTATATACTTTAGACATTTCTCTTAGAAAAATAATAAAAAATATTGTAAATTATTTGGATTATGAAAATGTAACCCAACATAATATATAATGATGTAGTCTGATAATATTTCAAAAATAAACACTCTAAATTTCATTCTGACGATATAACCTAGATCATTTTAATTACTTTTACCTTATTTTTTCGATAAAATAAGCTGTCCTACTTAATATTCATATAATTAAGAACTTTACAACGGCAAAAGAAGTCAACGATAATCTGCAATGGTAGCGGTTTTTGTGGCGTAGTTTTGTTTTTACGATAAAAGTTTACCACGTTGACCTACATTCGTATTTTTTCCGAAACTAATATATTTAATTCTAATTTATTACGAAACTGGAGATAACCATTTTAGGTGGGCGGTATATATAATATATACGTTGTATTACGAACTTTAAAATTACACACATTTTTCTAAGCCTTTGTCATCAAAAATCAAATCAAACACATTGATTAACTACACTGTATCTCAAGGTACTGGGTGGAATGGGAGTCGCCGATTCACACTATTCTCGTATTAATCGGGTTCGTGTTGGCTTGTCAGTTCTTCGAACCGTATATGGCACCTATTGCTTTATTACTGGTCTTCCTAAGATACTATGTAGCACATTCGTGGGGTGCGTCTAAATTAATCGACGAAGACGACGAACAACAAACCGATGAAGATGACCAACAAGACGATCAACAGGAAGATCAAGATGACGACAAAGCAAAGGTAACGTGTACGATATACATAATTATTAATTATATAATTGAAGATAAAATTATTAAACATGATAATTGTTATAATGGAAAATATTTACAGGAAGAAAAAAAATCTCTGAAAGAGCGAGTGGCCGCTGTACAAGAAGTCACGCAATTAGTTCAGAACACAATCGGAGACATAGCTTCGTTTGGTGAAAAAATTAAAAAGTAACGATGTTTTTCACTTATCAGTCAATGCAATAAGCTAAAATATATTATTTTTTGTTCGTACAGCCTTTTAAACTTTTCCGTACCATTCTTATCGTACTTGGCCATCGTGTTGCTGATTGCGGTTACAACAGTGTTGTATTATATTCCCATAAGATATCTGATTATGGGTTGGGGCATCAATAAGTTTACTAGGAAAATACTTCGGCCTCATACAATTCCAAACAACGAACTTCTGGATTTACTTTCTAGGGTTCCCGACAACGAGGAGAAGGTAATGATAGGAATGCTTTTATCAGCTGGTAAAATATTTCTAACAATTTAATAAATTAATAGTTCAAACAACTATGGTTGCAAAACATTTTCATTTCCAAATGTAAATTCTTCTGCCTAAAAACTTGCTAAATATAGTCTTTAAAATATGTCCATAGTTTATAAATAATAAACGTCTAGTTCAATTTACAATTATTATACTAATAACATGAAAGTTGTAGTTTTAAAATTTACGAAAGCTAAAAAATTAAAAACAAATAAGAAATAGTAAAAATTCCACTTTGTTTTAAGTATTTAAAACTATACCTAATAATATTACAGTATAATTCTATTTTGCAAAATATGAAAATCTTAAACTGAATTTAATTAAATGTCCTACATTAAACAATTTCCGTATGTTTAGCCTACATGTATTATATAATAATATTAATTTTAATCCCTTTAAATATATTTAATTAATAATAAAATATAAATATTTTACACAGCGAAAATTCAAGGAAGTTAAATATAATCCAGAAGAAAATATAAAATGGTTTCGAATATGGTAGGTAATTTTTCATTTATAATGATTGACGCGTGGTATGTAACTTAAAATAATATTGTATCAAAATATAATTTTATAGATTTATATTAAGGAATTACGTTATTAAAATATTATGTCTAACTATTTTACTCATTTTAGAATTATATTTGACAATTTCTATAACTTTGTAATAGTTTAATAGTTTAAAAACGAATAACCCTGAATAGATACACTATACTAATTATTATACAATAAATGTCAACTCCTATTATAGTTTATTAATAAAATATATAGTTACCTATACTTAATTATCTTTGAATTTATAGCAATTTTCCCCTTTTATTAAAAAAAAAATACAATAGATAACTTGACTTGAAAATAAATTACAAAATATTTTTCATTAATCTATGAGATAGAATATATTTACTATGAGTAAATCAAATCGTTTAAAAATAGTGTTTATAATTTATCTCCAAAACATTAATTTCAAAATATATGTTATTTTTGAGTATCAATAAAAGTAATGAACATACTACATACTATTTTTAGATATATTACAAAGAACTAACAACTATCGATAGTGTGGACGGTGTGGATAAATCAAACAAAGATTCAAGAAGAAAACAGAAGCTGTGATTATTTTTTACAATTTTGCAAGGTATTAATTTTGGTTGTTCTTAGTAATTAAATATATGGTACACATTATTGCTATTTTATTATCATTATTATTATTACTGCCTATTGATATTATGAAAACTTTTAAATCTAATTTCATCAATTCAAACTTAATTCCTTTTTTTTGAAATAACTGTGTGATATTTAGATTTGTTATTTTTACTTAAAAAGTGGGCTTATGTTTTAAACATTTTCAATAAGTTTTCATTACTTCATTTTTATCTATACTTTTAAATGATTCTGTATTGTATAAAGTTTGAACTGTTTTTAAACTTACTTATTGTCTATTGTTTTGGTCTTACAATACCAAAATTATTATATACAATTTAATAACTGTTTCATCTCATATTGTTTAATTATTATTTATTATTACCTATTTCTAAATTTTATTCAATACTGTCCAACGTATTTATTGTTATTGAGTGATTTTGAAATTATTTATAATGTATAAATATATAATAATATATTTGAATAAAATATTTTGATCTACAATACATGAACATGTGTGTTTGTATACAACTTTTTAAAAATATTATTATAGTTAGATTAAAATAAAATGTAGGAATAATGAATTGTACCTATTATTGATAAAACAATAACACCTATACTTTTATAAAAAAAATAATGCGATTCCGTTTGGGTATAAATATATTATAATAATATATTATATACTCTAATTTTCATAATAAATTATATGACGTACGTACGTATTAATAATATTATCATAATCATGCACGTACGCATACATGTACTTAAATTGCCTATATAAGACGCCGTGCGTGGGTTAGAAAACAATAACGGTTAACACATAGATTGATTGATCGCACATTTTTATATTTTCGATAGAAAAACTAATAATGTAGTCTTTACATCATAACATGATCACGTATTATGTATTTCTATAGGATTATCAAAGTCTAGCGATATCGTGTCTCGGTCTATAATTGGTTTTCTCTTCTCTGCAATAAATAATAAAATTATATTATATTATTATGTTCACAGATTCATTATACAATATAATATAAAGACGACAGTGTTTGATTAACGTGTAAAAGTTTAAAAAACATGTGTTTATGATAGGTAACAACCCCAGAGCTTACCTCTATTTATATTAAAGAAATATTGTATGATCTGATCCACTGTATAATCGCTATCCTGTACAGACAAACTTCTTTTTATACGATTATTTGAACTGAAATTATTATGTGATGTCACTTCTTCTACCGATAATGGCATGTTATCCTGTCCAAAGTCCTATTAAACAATTTAAACATGTGCAAGAATCAGTACAACAAAGTTAAGTAGTACGATACATTTTAATTTATAAAATCGTGTCTTTATAATTTAATAATATCAAATAAACTATGAATGATTATAACTTAGTCTACAATTATGATATTATCAAGATTTTTAATTAATTTCCAAAAAAAATATACTTTTACAACTATAGCGTGTTACATTTATAAAAAAAATATCTTTATAGAATTATTGAGCTAGGTAACTGACATGAACGTGCAATTAATAGTTAAAAAGTCGTTTTTATTAATTAGAACAAATTACTGTTAAAGTGAAAAATAATATATTTTATATATTTTAAAAATAAACGCTTTAAAAATATGAACTATAAAATGTTTGTATAACTTCTAAAATAATATTTATACACTGTACGTTTAATTATTATGGTATTACATGTTTCTCAATGACACAATATTAACATAAATTATATTATCTTATAGTATCTTATGATTATAATTCAAATGTGATATTAAATTTCAATATAAATAGGTTGTTGGATCAGATATAAATTTGTTTGTTTGACGATACTCTGTAAGGTGAATATAATTTTGCTCGAATAGTATTTTTTTTGTTAATAATATTTATGTTTTTAAACAGCGGAATATATATGTATTTGAATAATTTAAAGGTTACTATTTATTTATATATCATATTTTAATGTCTGGGTGAATGGATCTAATTGATTTTATTTGTAATAATAAATGTATTTACCGATACGATACGGGTAAAAAATTATTATGCCTAGTAGGCTTTTAGTATTTTCTAAAAGTATTCAGTTATTGTACGTCAACTGTTCCATCGTATCATGAGTGTATTTACTGTTTTTAGGGTTTTTTTAAATTTTTTTTTTTATTAGCTTCCAGTTTAAACTATGATAGCTCAATTTTTTTTAGGGTTATTATTTATTTTGTTTAGCCGTATTTTAAGTATTTTTTTTTTAATATTTTAATGAGTTAATACTTCCTAACTTTAGTAATGATTAAATAAACTATGGTTATTAAAAAATTGTGTTTAGACTGTAGAATGTAGATAGTATTAATTTGTATCTTATAGATTATGCTGATAATTCAAATCAAAATATCATGATTTCATATCATTATTTCGTATAATATAATAGTATTATGGTATTATAGTTATAATACCAAGGAATAACATAAGCAATACATATTAAATACAATTGTATCTATAAGATGGAAGTCGTAGCATAAGATTAATTCTGAATTCGTCTTATTCCACTGCATGAAATTTATGGTGTTTAAGAGTACTCACTAAACATTTTCCACTCAAACAAAATGCCCGTCGGTCCGGATCTCCTCGAGCGCAATCAGTACCGAAAGGAAACCATCCGACTTCACCGTTAACAATATAAAATCTGTGCTGTACTGTCTGATCTTGACATGCAAGTCTACATGGTCTATCCATATCATCTATGAATTATTAAGATCAATATTTTAAAACAAATTTAACTATTTATAGTTCAATTAAAATTAGCTTTCTAATAACGTTTTCTTACCTGGCACAGATGACAGTTGCATTCCTAAACCAGAAAGTCTCTGCACTTTTTGACCATATTTAGTACAAATTGAAGTCGCATAATCCACTACGGATTTCAGACCCATTTTGCATTGCTATTTATAATGAAGAAGATGTATGTTAAAATAATTATCACAATATTTTGTAAAGCTAAAAGTTTACGTTGTTCGGTGGGTAACTAAAATTAATTATAGTTTCTGATACCCACGCATTTAATTTTATATACCGAAATTAATATGGAAAATCACTTGTAAAAACTAATCTCCAAAACGTTCAGTCACTCACCACTTAAAAATTTATACTTTAGTTTCGTTCAATTATAGTCTTCAAAGTATTTGTGATAAACGGAGGGGATTAATGTGTAAAGTTATTACACATCTTCAATTTTGCTGTACAAAATTCTTATAATCTACTAATCATATTATGTCTAATTTGGAGTTATTTTCTACAGATTTTGATGTAAATTCATAATAAACAATATTATTGCATATATCTAATATAATTAATATGCTTTGTATATATAAGAAATTAAATTAAAACTTTATAAATAAGTCCGATCTCATAAATAATATTTTAGAATTTGAGCAAAGGAATGAATATTTTTATTTCACAATTATAATATTATTATTTAAATTTTTTTAGGATTTTTTACGGGATTAGATGTAAGCATAAAGCTGCATATACGAGTATACGACCTTAAAAGGACGTGATATCCGCATGTGTTGCCTTCGTCTTACAAGTGAGTAACATAGCAAATTATCCGCTAAGCAGAAGCTCCGTTAGTTTAAAAATTAGAGTGAATTGACCTCTTATAAAATCTAAAGGAAGATTATTACCTAGACAACCTCATAGGATTTTTATTATATTTTAATTTTTAAGCGAGCTATAAGTATTTTAAAATTGTAAATTGTTTATAGATCTTAAAGTACTCATAACTAGCTTAAAAATTAAAATATTATAAAAAGCCCATGATGATGTCTAGATAAAAATCTTACCTTTAGATTTTATAAGAGGTTAATTTACTCTAATTTTTAAATTAAAGGAGCTACAAGTGTTTTTCTGAGAGTATAATTTGCATTGTGTGAGACGACACATGAGGGTATCACGTTCTCTTAAGAAATTAAGATCTTTAAAGAGATTTTAATTTTTAAATTTTCATCTCAATTTTTTTACGCAAGGAAGACTTGTTAACGGTTAGAATTTTTTAAAAAACGCGAGAATTATTTATCATTGATTTCTATAATTACATACATCGATAGTACATATGTGAGTATGCGACAAACCAAAGACGAATTACTTTGAAAACACTTTTGTCACCATTTTTTATTATTATTCAACGTTTAATGTACATAATATTTGATTTGAACACTCCCAAACGACCATTCGATTATTGAGACCCACACAATAAAGTATATTGAATTAGGCAGGATGTAGGTAAATAAAGAGGTAATCTATAGCGTCACTATTTTTTTTCGTACCCCTTAATGATATAAAATTTCACTGAAAATTAGTGCTAATATCGAAAATGTATACTCGCTTCTTTTTGGGGACGGCAAATCTTTATGCTCATGACTGGCTCGCACGTTTTGCACGTTTTCCCTTCAACCAGCTTAAGACCGACGCCAGGGACCATACAACTATAGTGGCACACAGATATTGGCTGCCATTTCCATCCGACGACACTGGACTCCGCCGGCAAAAGCGGCAATGGTTGTGAAGGCGATCTCAGCCGATTTATCGGCGGTTCGTTTATTTCGCATCTTTTTGCCTCCTCCACGTACAGTGTGTCCGGCGAAGACGATTTGTCGCAAACGAATTCCTTTTGACAAAAAAAAAATATATAAACATATTCATCGTAAATTTGTAACACTTGTGAATTATCGAAAAAGTGGTTAACATCTATAGGTAATAACAGCCTACTTGTAGAATGTAAACAGGTACCTACAATACATATAATGTGATATACTGAAATTTATAGTAGTAAACTAGCAATATGCAATCATAACTTAAGCTAATAATTGAATTTCAATGACAATTATTGTCTATTTGTTGATATTTAATAATTGAATCGTTTAATAGGTACCTACATAGGTGCTAAATGAGATCGTCATCATGATTGATTATAATATTAACATTATTATTTTATTTACTATTAATATTGGTTATATATCACTACTGAAGATGTATGTATCCCGTAGCATATTATTGTAACATCCTAATCATAATAATTAATATTCAAAAACCACAGTTTATTGTTATACTTTTGTCCGGTAACTAATCACAAACCAATGATCAATTTTTTCGTAACTTGTAATATATTATACGTACTCGAATATAAATTTTCGATAGAATTTTCAAACATTATATAATCTAGTAGTCATAAGTTTACAGTGAATAACAATGATAATTAATAGTTATTGTATCAATACGTATTTGGGTAGTTAATTATTGTATCGATAATTTACCTTACAATAACCACCGATGCAATAAGTGGATTTCTTATCCTTATTTATTTGACATGTTGTACCATCGGGAAAAGACCAACCCCGACTTTTTGTACCACCTTTTTCTGTATGACACCAAACAGTGCACGCGTCTTTGGCTAAAATAATTACATAAACATTTTAATAAACAAACGTAATAACACGTAGACGAATAGTAAATTTAGAGCAGTAGATATTTTGTAGTAAATGTTCACATACGATCTGGACTAATTTTTTGATAACCAGTTCCCAGAAGTTCTACGTCGTATTCTTTAGCTCTTAAACATATCTCGTTTGCGAAGTCTTTGAGAGTGAGCTGTGGTGCATTTGCGCACTAAAAACGTGTGCAGTATATTAATTTCTGATCAACCGTTTTGAAAGCTTTATTTTCAAAAACACTTACTTGTTCTGTTGAACATGATTTGTACTTTTGATCACCACCTGAACACGTCTTACCGCTATTTTCTGGCCTAGAAATTAATAAAATAGTATATACTACTCGTATCGTTTTAAAAACTAATTTAACTAATTGTAAAAAGTAGTTGGGTGTAGAATAATAAAATAATATTATGTTGTAATATTATATTATTATTATCTTAATTTCTAAATAAAATATTTACATTTTACCCATGTACTTGTATAATTAAATTTACTGTAAATCGTATATTGTATTTCAGGTTTCAGACTTTTTTTTCGACTAATCATTAATTACACTAATTAAAACTGCACAATAAATACATAAAGCTTTAGGTGCACACGCGTACGTGAATTGTTTACACGAATATATTATTAAATGCTAGGAATTGAAATACGAAATAATTATTAAAAGTTTTACTACGCCTCTTTGTTCCTTTTTACTTGGATTTCTTGTTCACATTATTGTTCAAACATATAGTAATGATCTACCCGGATTCCTGGGTGAGAAAACATTTGGGCAGCTTTCCTTTACCCGTTATTATTTTTGGCACATGCTTGCAATAATTTATACAGCGTTGACACTATTGTCGCAGTATATTTTACAAAATGCGAATGTTCATGAACAAAATTAAGACAAATGTTGTTCAAAATCATAGACCATTGCGTAATAGAAAATTCATCGAAAATATTGTTTACTAACGGAGATATTCATTTTCAAGTGCATTACAGAATAATAAACTATTTAATTTATAATAAATTATTATTTTTAAAATATTTGTATATATACTTTGAACGTATACAATTATATTGTTGGTACTCAATTTTGTAATAGTTCAAACATGGTTAAAATATAAACTACTACCTAAATACAATTTACCTGGGATTGTTACACCTTCTTAACGAGGTCATTATGCCGGTGCTACCGCTATTCAGATCATTTTTATCGCCTAGCAAACACGATGAAGCACAGTCCGAGTACGGTTGCCAATCACTCCATCCACCATCGATACTCTGATGCGGTGCAAATCCAGCTTGAAGAGCAGACAAACCCTTATGTACACACCGGCCACTTCTACACCACTGAATTTTGCAATGATAATTATTAATTACAATATTAATGAATGACAATCGACACGATTTATATATAGTTTTGCAGGGGGAAGAAAATACTTGTATAATTATTTCATTAATTAAATCATGTCTATTGAATAGATATCAATTTAATTAGTTTAAGCTTTAAAGAAGTGGTAAACAAAAGAAGTCGCTAGATCAGAAATTCTTTTCTTTTTGTAACTCAGGTTTTGGCATATATCCTACAACAATAAATTCAAAGATATTTTTATTTTTTATATTGCTTTTTGAAAATAATAATAAGTATGTAATAAATGGACTCTTAAAGGGAAAATGATTATACTTTATTTTTTTTAATACCTTACCTACATATATTATGTTCAAACACAAAATCTTACTTATCGGGCCACACAGAGTTCCTTCTAATGCAGGATGCGAAGTCCAAGTATATCGGTCCCGTTGGCAATGTAAATCCCGACAAACCTCACTCAAATCTTGACTAGTGGCATGTACACTTCCTCGGCCGTATTTGAGCAGACACTGTTCGTGTGCGTCGAACCGCTCGCCGGGCAAACGACCTTGTTGTTTATGGTCCATGTAACCAGAAGTACCACTGTCGTCAAATAAGCACCCTGCTTGTGAGCTCCTAGACACATATTTTAAGTTATTACTACCTATCAAATTGTTTTAAAAACGATAAAATTACAATTTATAATATTGTCTTTGAATCAATACGATTTTTCAGAGAAATGGACCTCATGATATTATATTTTTTTTTGTTCCAAATGATTAAAATTTAAAATAGGTACATGTATTAAAAAGTATATTATGTGTACAGAATTAAAATATCCTATTCGAATTAGTCACTTGCTATTCCTGCTATGGTTATGTTTTCTAAACCCCCGAGGTTTCTACAATATCGTCAATATTGTATTGCTATTTTAATTTATAAATACATTTTATCAGTTATTATAGTTACCTTCTTAAAAGTTGCACTGATAAAAATCAACCTCTAAAATCTAATCACGACGTGATAAAAATAATATCCTATTACTTATATTTATTTTGCAGAAATAATCCTAAATATCAAACTTTGATTGGCCTATTAATTGTAC